GAAGAAACTGAGGCACGAGCCATAGAGCTGGGTTTTGGACCCGGACATTCTGGCTCCAGCGCATACGTGCTTAACCACTCTGCTAGCCTACCTTCCTTAAAACTATTCATTCTCATTCCCTCCCCCAGCCTTCTCACCCCCAAATCTCCAGCAGACGACCTCCCTGCTTACTTCTTTGTAACGACTGAGGTCATTGGTGGGACCTCTCTCCACTGCCGCCCCAGCCTCCAACTGCCTCTGTTTCCTTGCCTCCTCCAGCAGTCCTGCCTCAGGGGTTGAGGCATCTGCCTTTCTGGTTAAAGCTGCTCCTGTCCCTCCGTCCTAGGAAGGCAGTGGAGTGTAATGGTTTAAGAGCTGGCCTCTGCAGACAGACTGCACTAAATTAATAAGTGTCTGGTCTTAGGAAGTCACTTAGGTTCTCTAAGCCTTAGTTTTCTCGTCTGTGAGTAGGGGTGATACTAATGTGAGGGCCGAGCATATTGATTCATGTAAAGTGGTTATTATTTGTTCCCCTCCTATCTGGTCCTTGGGTTACTGCCTCTCTCTTCTCTAGCTTGAGTTGACTTCTCTTTACAGGTTGTATTAGTTACCTACGGCTGCTGTATGATTACAGCACAGTATTATAGCCACTAATTTAGTGGCTTCCAATAATCCATATTTATTATCTTACATTTCTAGAGGTTGGAAGTCTGAACTGGGTTTCACTAGGCTAAAATCAAGGTGTTGGCAGGACTGACCCCTTTTGGCGTCTCTGGAAAGCATCCATTTTTTCACCTTTCCCAGTTTATAGAGGCTGTCCGCATTCCTTGGCTTGTAGCCCATTTCTGTCTTCAAAGCCAGCAGTGGCGGGTTGAGTCCTCACAGGCAATCCCTCCAACCTTGATCCCATTGTCCCCTCTGCTTCTCTGATTCTGACTTTCCTACCTCCCTCTTTCACTTATAAGGACCCTTTGGATTAAAATGGACACAACTGGAGACTGCAGGATCTCGTCTCAAGATCCTTGACGTAATCATTTTTGCAAAGTCCTTTTTGCTGTGGAAGGTAACATATTCATAGGCTCTGGGAATTAGGACATGGACTTTTTTGGGTGGCCATTATTCTACCTACCCCTTGGGGATATGGCATGTGAGAAGCATCCAGATGTCCCTCCTTTTTCTCCCCCTCAAGCTCTATTGAGATACAATTGACAAGTAACCAGATCATGCCTTCCTTAAAGGTACATTGTCTTCTTTCTTCCTTCCTTCTCAACCAAGCCCTTTGGAAGAGTTGTCTTGCCTAGTTTTCTCCACCTCGTGACAACCCCCTCCCATCTGCGTCTGCCCCCATACTCCACCAAACTGACTCTTGCCCTGATCACCAGTGGCTTCCGTATTGCCAAGTCAACGGACACCTTTCATTCTCAACTGGCTGCATTTTCCAGTTGGCTGCTCATTCCTGCTTGAGACCCTTTTTTGAGGATTTCATCCTTTTGTGGTCCCCTGTCTGCCTTTAGGTGACTTTCTCTTGATTTTCCTCCTCTTCCTCTCTGGCTTAGACATGCCTGGGGCTCTGCCGTCTCCACTGGCCCCTGAAATGTCTGTGTTCCCCAGGGCTTTGCATCTTTGTTCCATTTCTCTTTTCTTGGGTGATCTTGTCTCACACTGCTGGTTTTAAATGCCACTTGCACAAAGATGACCAATTCCTGCTTGTGCTGTGCAGATCTCTGGCTCCTGGCTGGAAGTGTTGGTGAAGATTGTGTTTCCAGTAATCCCGTAAGCTCCTCAATTTCTTTGGTCTTCCTTCAAGTAGACACAGTGAGAGCGCTACTTGAGGTACTGACTTGAGAACCATGAAGCCTGGGGCATTCATGCTTCTGTTCCAGACTGCGTGGCCTACTTCCATCAAGACACAGTGTGGGGCTTCCCTGGTGGCACAGTGGTTAAGAATCTGCCTGCCAATGCAGGGGACACAGGTTCGAGCCCTGGTCCGGGAAGATCCCACATGCCACGGAGCAACTAAGCCTGTGCGCCACAACTACTGAGCCTGTGCTCTAGAGCCCATGAGCCACAACTACTGAGCCCACATGCCACAACTACTGAAGCCTGTGCACCTAGAGCCCGTGCTCCGCAACAAGAGAAGCCACTGCAATGAGAAGCCCGCGCACTGCAACGAAGAGTAGCCCCTGCTCGCTGCAACTAGAGAAAGCCCACGTGCAGCAATGAAGACCCAACGCAGCCAAAAAAAAAAAAAAAAAAAGATACAGTGTGATCTTCTCAGGACCCCTCAGAGGACAGTGAAAGGCACAGACCCAGTGATGACAAAGGACAGCTCCATGTTTCATGGGGGTAACAGAAAAGCAAATAGGGAAGGCAGATCTTCACTAATGTATTTATTGGGGCAAGCCCCACCTTTACCTGTGTGGTTTGCAATTGCTGGAGCGCCGAAGGAGCCAGAGGCTAACTGGAGCTCAAAGCACAAAAATATTTAAAGGGAGCCAAAGGGCACCCTGACAGTTCAGTTAGACATACAAAACTCTCACCAGAAACAGAGCAAGGTAACCAAACCGTGGGACCGCCTCCAAATGCAAGAAGACGGCTGAGGGAGGGATGGTACGAGGATGGCCTCGGGGCAGTCAGGGGGCTCACAGAAGAGGAGGGGGCTTGAGCAGGGAACCAACAGGCAGTGAGGGGGAGGAAGGCCATTTCAGGCAGGGGAATAGCACGTGCAGAGGCTGAAGTCAGGGCCAGTATAATCTACTTGGGGAGCAAGGAGGGTTCAAGGGAGATGAGGTCAGAGAGGACTGCATCCAGAGTAAATGCTAGCACAGGAAGCCTGGGCTTTATCTTGTTGGCAATGGGGAGCAATGGAAGGGTTTTGCGCAGGGGAATGGGTTGGGCAGAGGTCAGCTTTAGAAAGACTACTCCAGTGCTGGGTGGATTGGTGAGAGAATGTTGGGCCCCAGATCTTAAAATATGCATAGGTAGAATTTTACAAGGTATAATTTTTAAAAGGTATAATTTCATTTTATTTTATTCAAAAAATTATTTTATTATTATTTCTTATTGAAGTGTAATTGACCTACAACACTATGTAGTGTCAGGTGCACAAATTCAATATTTCTGTACGTCATTCAGTGACCACCACGGTAAGTCTAGTTACCATCTGTCACCGTATAAAGTTGCTACGATATTCCTGACTGTATTACTCATGCTGTACATTTCATCCCTGTGACTTATTTATTTTGTAGCTGGAAATTTGTCCTTCTTAATCCCCCTCACCTATTTCACTCATCCCCCACCTGCAAAGTATAATTTTAGAGAGAGGAGGTACCTTGGCATTGGTACTGGTTCATTCCTGTCATTTTATAGCATATATGTGTGTGTGTGTTTATATATAATACATATTCATATATATCATATAGTGTATTTTATATACACACATACATATATACGTACTAGATGGCCCAGGTGGAGGCCCAGGTGGAGGCCCAGTTGGAGGCCCAGGTGGAGGGTGAGTGACCTCCCAAAGGCACATAGCAACAAGGCCAGCGTTAGAACTCCGGTCTGCCTCGCAATCCACTGCTCTTCTTCTGTGCTATTCTGAGTGGAGGCAGCAGTGTCCGAAAGGAGGTTGATCCAATAGTCAAGGAAAGAGAGATGCAAGCCCCGACCAGGGCAGGTGCCAAGGTGAAGACCACATGGGAGGCAATGCGGATATGTTCCTGCTTTCTCTTTCTCTGGGTGGGGGTTGGGACATAGGGCTGGCTGGGGACTGCACATGAGTGCATCTCTCTTTCCTGGGTCCTGCAGCATCCTTCTGGGTCTGGTTTCTATGGCAACAGGCTCCCAGCAGGCAGCCCGCCAGCTGGAGGGAAGCAGGCAGGCAGGGAGAGAAGGCCCAGGCAGCATGAGGAAGGCTAAAGTTGTGGGGGGTGGGGGAGTCTTCTGGGAAGCAGGAGGAGCCCCTAAATCTGGCCCCCCAAAACCCTCTCTCTTCTGACCATATGAGGGTGGAGGTAGCTTAGGACACATGGGCTTTTCTTTCATGGTCCTTGAATTTCCAGACCTCAAACGTCTGTTCACCTCTCCCTGCCACCCTCACATCTCCTGACTCTCTCTTCTTTAAGTATTATCTATTATCTGACCCCAACCTCATGCGCCTCAGGGAGCACTTACTTCTTCATAGAAAAGAGCCCTCACTCTGATTGAACTCGGTGGGGAGGGGGAGAACAAGGTCAACTGACGTTCTGTTTTGCATAAGATTTGCATATTATTAACTCAAAGACAAGAAATTTCCAGGCCCTGTGTCATTCCTGCCAACAACTTAATTCAGCTCCACTGGCACCCGCTGACTGTGTCTGGCCAGGCTCCGTGCTGAGCCATGGGGTCCCTAGAGGAGAAGTCCTCCCAGCTGCAGCCCACCCCTTCTCGCCAGCTGCTCTAAGGCAGTTCTTCCTGATGTTCTAGCAGCTGGTGTGGTGGGAAGTTCTTGGGCTGTGGAGCGTGGCAGCCCTGGGTCCAGATCTTGGCTCCGCTGTTTTCCAGCTGGCTGACTGTGGGCCTCTCTGTGCTATAGTTTATTCATCTCTCCATAGGACTGAGGATATACCCGTACAGCTGGTATGAACTAGCGAAGACACGTTGTTTGTTAAAATGCTGAAATAATGCTGTGTTCATTGGTAAAGAGCCACCACCCTGGACCCTCCCCAGGCCCTTTTGGCCCACAATCCAGCTTCTGCGGGGTGATGCCCTAGCACTTTGGCTTTGTCCGTCTGATTGGTGTCTGCCAGCATCTGTTCTGCCCATGAAGTACAGGTGGTTAAATATTTTGAATATCACCCCTGTCCAGAACCGGTGCAACAGGTAGGTATGTTATGTACCGACCCATGGCAAGGACTGATACGTTTAAAGGTCGTGAATTAATGTCCATCACTTTGTAGGTTTCCTTTTGGCCTGGGGTGCGGGTGAGGGCTGGGATGAGACTGGGCAGGGGCAGAGATAACCGCCAGCTCTCTCACCAGGCGGGCGAGGTTCAAGCGCTCCAACAGTGTGACAGCCGGCGTGCAGGCCGACCTGGAGCTGGAGGGCCTGGCCGGCCTGGCCACCGTGGCCACAGAAGACAAGGCCCTGCAGTTCGGACGCTCCTTCCAGAGGCACGCCTCTGAGCCCCAGCCCGGGCCCCGGGCCCCCACCTACTCAGTCTTCCGCACGGTCCACACGCAGGGCCAGTGGGCCTACCGCGAGGGCTACCCACTGCCGTATGAGCCGCCGGCCACCGATGGGTCGCCCGGCCCCGCCCCTGCCCCTACCCCCGGCCCCGGGTCCGGGCGCCGTGACTCCTGGATGGAGCGCGGCTCACGTAGCCTCCCCGACTCAGGCCGCACGTCCCCCAGCCCACGGGATGGCGAGTGGTTCATCAAGATGCTGAGGGCGGAGGTGGAGAAGCTGGAGCACTGGTGCCAGCAGATGGAGCGCGAGGCGGAGGACTATGAACTGCCGGAGGAGAGTGAGTGAGGGGACTCCGGGCACGGAGGCATCGTGGCGGCGGCGGCCACTACCGCGATGTGATAGGAGAGGCCTTTGGCTGGGCCTGACTGTGCCTTTCTCACAGTTTGCTCGTATGGCCCCAGACCTTGGTGGCTCCCATTGGCAGTAGGGCATGTTGGGAGCTCTCGGAAGGAAGCAGGGAGCAGCTTCAGAGGTCGGAGCTAGGACTGGGAAAGTGACCGGGTGAAAGGGCTGGGCCTTCTAGGAGATGGCTGCCAGCCCAAGTCCATGGGGATTGAGGGGACCCTATTCCCATCTGGGCTGGTGTGGGAATCCAGGTCTGATCCAGGTGTGAGACCAGGACTTCAGGCAGAGGGGGAGGCAGTGCACAGTGTCAGCTCATGTCTGAGGCCTAGGAGAAGGAGATTCAGCCAGGGAGACAGGGCCCTGCACGAGGGAGGACATGCCCTTCCCTGCAAGTCCAGTCTGAGGGGAGACACAGTCTTAACCGCAGAATCCCCAATTTGATGGGATAGTGACTAGCAGACAAGAGTCATGCACATGACATTATTTGGTAATTCTCAGTGAGCCAAGGAGTCATACACTGAGGAGTGACAAAGTTCTGCCAGTGAGTGGCCACGGAGCTAGTGCCTGGCTAAGGCTGTTGGGCTAGGCTGGCACCACTTTCCATCTGTTCTCTGACATGGGAGGGAAGCGGACACAGGAGGATAAGCGGTCAAGATGTGTAGATCATGTGAAAGAAGAAACCTCAGTGTCTGAGGAGACAGTCTTCTTGGTGAAGTGGGATAGGAGCTGCTTGTTATGACCTTGAGGATGGGATGGGGTGGGGGCCGGAGGAGACAGACGGATAGACAGACGGTGCCAGATAACAGAGGGGTCAGTCATTCAGGGCAGACTTCCTGGAGGCTGGGTAAGGAGAGGCATCTTTCCTCTCCCCGCATCTCCTTTTGCTCTCCAGTCCTGGAGAAGATCCGCAGTGCCGTGGGCAGCACACAACTTCTCCTGTCCCAGAAGGTTCAGCAGTTCTTCCGGCTGTGTCAGCAAAGCATGGTGAGTGCCCATGGCACGGAGCCTATCAGGTGTGTGTACCTGGTAGGGGACTGGAGTGTGTGTACGCCTGGAAGTGAGACCAGGTGTTTGTCTTGTCTTGTCTCCCTACCTCCCAGTCCCCTCCCCACTCTCCCAGGTTGAGCTTCCTGACAATGAGGGTGGGTTGGGCTTTCTCTGGTCCAAGCTGGGGCTCAGACCCTGCCGACTGACTGCCTCCCCTCTGTCTCCCTCCACTGCAGGACCCCACTGCGTTCCCCGTGCCCACCTTCCAGGACCTGGCGGGTTTCTGGGACCTCTTGCAGCTCTCTATCGAGGATGTTACCCTCAAGTTCCTGGAGCTACAGCAACTCAAGGCCAACAGCTGGAAACTCCTGGAGCCTAAGGTGGGGGGAGGTCCCTTCAAACCAAGAGTCCAGACCCTGGAAAATGCCCTTCCCCAGAGAGTGTGGGTGGGGGCGGGGGGAGGAAGGCAGGAGAGAAGACCCTGGGCAGCAAAGGTAGTCCTGAACAGGTGATGGTGACCCTCTTCGACCCTGCTCTTGGTCACTGCCCTCTGCTTGGTCCCACTGCTCATCACTACCTGAGCTGCAAGAACCCTTTGGTGGCTGCAGCCACCTCGGAACAGCTGTCGTTTGAGGGAGCCAAACTAGAGCTTCCAGAAGGGCAGACTGCCCTCAGCTTGGACCTCGGCACAGAGGGGACCTTCAAGGTCCCCTCAGCCCTCATCTCACTAGACCTTGTCAGTGATGGGTCCCAGCAGCCTGGAACGTGAGCCCTCATTGCCTTGCCTGCGTCGGGGGAACTGCACTCCTCTGGACCAGGAGGGAGCGAACGCTCTGATGCGAGTTGTGGAAAACGGCTCCACCAGGGGGCGCTCGAGTCCATCTCTTTAAAAAGTGAAAAATGTGGGTTTCACCTTGGCAGAACAAGCACCCCTGGGGCTTCGGGGGCCGTCACACGCTCTCAAGAACCGCTCTCACGAGTCAGAGGCGCGCGCTGTTAACCGTTCCGGGCCGCGGGGGCGCCGGTTGGGAAGTCGGGTGGGACCCGCCCCCAAACTAAGTGCCGCCCCCTCTGCCGGCAGGAGGAGAAGAAGGTCCCTCCGCCGATACCAAAGAAGCCCTTGCGGGGCCGGGGCGTGCCGGTGAAGGAGCGCTCCCTGGACTCGGTGGACCGGCAGCGGCAGGAAGCTCGCAAGCGGCTCCTGGCGGCCAAGCGCGCCGCCTCCTTCCGCCACAGCTCGGCCACCGAGAGCGCCGACAGCATCGAGATCTACATCCCCGAGGCCCAGACCAGGCTGTGACCGGCCCGGCCCGCCCAGCCCGGGCCCGGGCCCGCGGTTTTCTACCCGTACTGTACACCCAGCGTCGAGGTCACTGTGAACGCGGGCTGCCCCGTGCGCCCGCCCCGCCGGCACCGCACGCCCCGGCCCCTCCTGCCCGTCACGGTCTCGTGGGTTTTTTACCTTCCCGACCCCACGCGAAGGCGCCCGGGCTGGGCTGGGGGCCGTGCCCCTCCGCCCTGCGCTCCCACCGGGACCCCCCCACCTTCCAGGTCCGACGCTTCGTCCCCACCTCCTCCCCACGGGCACCATCTCTGCCATTACCCCACGGGCCAGGCCGGGCCGGGTCCCCCATCTGGGCTCTGCGTCCCCCCCACCCCGCGGGGCTGGGCTTCGTGGGGAATCAAGCTTCGTGGCTTTTTATGAAGACTCCCGAACCCCGCCTAGGAGCCCGCCCCACCCTCCCAGGGGCTCTACCCTCAGCCCTCAGCCCACCGGGCCCAGGGACCACAGTGGCTGGACCAACCCAGGACCAGGGCGCCTGGGCCTCTCCCCTTTCCCAGCTGCTGGGGAGGGGAGATGGGGGCTTCCCCTCACCACACCTGTGGCTGTTCCCACATCCCCTTGAGTATCCCAGGAAAAATAAAACGGCAGAACTGCACTCGAGCCAGCTGCTCTCTCCAGAAGAAGCCACCTCTGCCCGAGCCTGGGACAGGGGGTGGAGGGAGGAGAGGCCGGAGCCCAGGCTTTTGGTCTGGGGAGAGCGGGGTTGTCTGGGCCAGCTGGGGGAACGGGGATTCGGCCCCGCCGGGTGGCGACAGAGGACCTGAGCCCTCCTGGAGGGGCCTGGGTGGGTTGAAGGGGCCCGGGTGGGGTGAAGAGGCCTGTCTTCCAATTCCTCCTAGTTTAGTCCGGTTCCCTTTCTGCCTTCCAGTTCCCCAGGGTTCCCCCAGAGAGGGAAGCCCAGAGCCCAATGCCTGACACACAGCGTGTGCTCCATAAACAGGAGGGCTGCTGTTCTTCGATATGGGCAAATATTGGTTTCCTTCTCCCTAAGGGGCCACTGTTCTTTCCGCTCCAGAAAACTGTTCAATTCTGTGCTGTCATGTTTTCTGATGCCTCCTGTGCATGGGTACATCGATGGGGAACAAAAGAGAGAACAGAACTTTCCTGGGAAGCTCAGTGGCATCGCAAACGTAGTAGTGATGGCTAATATTTATTGGATGCTTGCTGAGGGTCAGGCAAGATGAGAGTGCTTTACATGAACGTAGCTCATCCTTACAACAGATGAGAAAGCTGAAGCCCAGGAGAGGTCAAGGGCCCTGGCCAAAGTCACAGGCAGGCCTAAGAGTGGTGGACCCAAGTCTGTCTAATGTAAATCCTGAGCCTTTAGCTCTACAGCCTTTTGAGCCCAGAGAGAGTTGAATGGCAGCTCCTACCCACAAAGCCCTCTCTCCAGTCTTTGCGTTGATGTGGACTCTGAGGCAGGACGAAGAACCTTCCAAAAGGGTTGGCTGCTCTTCTGGGCCACACTGGACTAGCCAGTTCTTCTCATTCATGTATTCAGCAAATAGTTATCAAGAACCACTGTAGGCCCTGTCCGGCACCTGAAGATAGCTCTGAACAAGTTAGTTTCTGCTCTTATGGTGCTAACAGCCATATGGGAAAGACAAGTAAGTAAGCAGTTACATTATAAGGGTGAGTGCTGGAAAGATGACTAGGTATTAGCCACTGAAGGAGGGCGAGGGCTGGGAAGAATGTTCAAGATCAGAGAACAGCTGTGCAGAGGCTTGGAGGAGAAAGAGGTGTTGGGAGTGCAGAGGCTTGATCATGCTGGGCTTTTGGGTCAATTTGAGGAAGGTGGGCCTGGGTCCTGAGGGCCACGGGGAGCCACAGAAGGGTTTTGAACAAGAGAGTGGCATGAACATATTTTACAGGCTGGTCTGGAAGACCACCTGAAAAGCAAGAGGTCATATTCCCACACACACTCATTTGAGGCCACTGGGAGGTGAAAAGGGCTCCCGTGCAACCCGAATTCCCAAAAGTGAATCAGCCTGGAGCTGATCCCAAACAGATTCCTGGGCCCTGTGCAAGACTTAGTGAATAGAGTCTTTGCTCTCAGATGAGTGTTTTTGGCTTATTTATTTATTTTGGCTGTGTTGGGTTTTCGTTGCTGCGTGCGGGCTTTCTCTAGTTGCGGTGAGAGGGGGCTACTCTTCCCTGTGGTGCACAGGCTTCTCATTGCGGTGGCTTCTCTTGTTGCAGAGCACGGGCTCTAGGCACATGAGCTCAGTAGCTGTGGCTCGCGGGCTCTAGAGCGCAGGCTTAGTAGTTGTGGCACATGGGCTCAGTTGCTCCACGGCATGTGGGATCTTCCCGGACCAGGGCTCGAACCCGTGTCCCCTGCATTGGCAGGCAGATTCTTAACCACTGCATCATTTTGATGGCAGCCAGGTTTGGGAATACTGAAATTGGATGACTCAAAGTTTCAACTAGAAATGTTCATATGTCTATTTCCCCCAGATTTGCCAAGTGGGGCACTGGCTGAGTGACTATCATCCTGAGCTTCAGTTTTCTTGAAAATGGGGACCTGGGAGAGGTTTGAACTAGACAATACTCAGAGCAATCCTATGAAGCAGGTATTGTTATCACCCCCATTTTACAGATGAGAAAACCGAGGCTTGGAGAGGTTCAACAACTTAGCCCAAATCACGAAGCCAGGAAGTAGCTGAGTCCAAGTTTAACCTCTACATTATATAGCTTTTTATGGGTCTCTGTGTTTTCCCAGAAACTGGGCCAGGCTTGCCAGGACCATGAGGTATATGGGAATGGACACGGAGAGACGGGTAGCATCCAAGACTGTGTGGGCATCCTGCTACAGATGTGATGTCTAAAATCTCCCCGTGTGGGGCTGATGTAGGGGGTGTGTGGGGAGTCTCCTTAGGGTATTGTGGCCCAGGTAGTTGTGCTGGGCTCCATGGACATGTGAAGGATTAGATCCAGTCCCTGTGCCTGAGTTGCTCCCATCTGGCCATAGCAAGGCACATAAATACAAAGTTATGGTACAAAGGGAGGCCTGCTCTCCCAGAGGGGCTGAAGAGACCAGAGGAGGGAGCCTGTAGCAGCCGGCGAGTCTAGGAAACCTTTCTGCAAGAGGAGCCTTTTGAACTGGGTCTTGCAGGATGAATTAGAGTTTTGTAGTCAGGGATGAGGAGGGAAGACATTCATTTCAGGCAAAAGGACCGACCAGCTTAGGCAAAGGCATGGAATGCTGTGCGTGTGTGGGATAATGGGAAGAGCAGAGACTGGAGAGAGGTGACAGGCTAGGACGGGTAGAGGGGAAATAAAGGAGATGTGGCTGGAAGGGAGCCATGGGTTTAAGTTGGAGAGTCCATGGTTTTATTTAAGTGTTTGAAAGACTCTTTGGCCAACAGAATAGAAATGGACTGGAGGAGGCAATGGAAGGCAGAGAGACCATTGAAGGGAGTTGCCAAGGTGGTCCAGGTAAGAGATGATGATGAATTTGAGAGACATTCAGGAGGCATAGGTGCTATAAACTGGATCTGGGGAATAATGCAGAGATGAAGAGGCCTTGAAGGTGTCACTCAGGTTTTTGGCTTGGTGAGTAAGTAATGCCATAAATGGACATAGGACATTACAGAAGGAGGAGTAAATTTGAGGAATACTAAACATGCTGGTGATCAATTACCAAGCACTTAGAAGGTGCCATATACTGTAAATGCTAAGCATTTTATACACATTAGGTGATTTAGTACAGAACAACCAAAGGGGGGTGGGTACTATTACTGTCTTTTTTAAAACAATGAGTGTAAACAGCTTTTCTGAGATTAGCAGGCAGCAGGGTTAGGATTTGAACCCACAACTCTCTGATTCCTAAATCTGTGCCCTGCAGCCCCACTCAGTTCTGCCTGACAGAACTGCTAGCCACTACTTGAGACTTAGCTCAAGGGCAGGTTCCTCTGGGGAGCCTTCCCTGATTCTTCCTGGGGCTCCTTCTCTGTGCTACTTGTGCATGCTCCCGGCATCACATTTCTCACACTCTCTCGACATTTTGTAGACCCCTCTGCTTCCCTGTTAGTCAGACAACTCTTGGGGGAAAACACGGTCCCAGTCACCTTTGCATCCCCAATGCCTAGCACATGTTAATTGGCTGACTGAATGCTAGTTATTCTGGGCAATTCTGTTCCCTTGTCCTCCCTCAGTGAACACGTTCTGCTAATAATGGTTTCGTACACATTTCTTTATTCTTTATCTGTTCCTTTTTCTCCACCTCCATTGTCAGAGCTTAGCATTGAGATCTTTGAGATCATAAAGGAAGGGAATCTACCCTGATAATGCAATCTAGGAGGCTTCCTACCAAGGTGTCCCTTGAGCTTGAAAAACAAGACAGAGCTACTTTGGTAAAGAAAGGTGGGAAGGGCACTCCAGGTAGATGAAAAAGCATAAATAAAGGCACAGAGGTGTGAAACAGTTTGGTCTGCGTGGGGGAGGGGAATAGGAGGGGTTTAGTATGTGTTACCAAAGGTAAATAAGTACGCCTGCCTGAGACTAGTGGAATGAAGGTGGAAAGACAGGGCTAGGTGGGGGTGTTATGGAGCTTAAGCTTTGGTGTTTTTTTTTCCTATATGTGTTAAAGTAGACATCTGTACAGGGCGCAGTGGGGACACAGAGGAGGCAGTGAATACTTGCACCTAAGCGGTCAAGTAAGACAGGTTTTACTATATTTCAATTATTTGTATACTAACAATAGTACCATTTAATTCCCTGCTTGTTATGTGCCAGCACAGCACTTTGCATACATTGTTTCATCAACTCTCACAACATCCTGTGAAATAGGTGTTATTACCTCTATGCATAAGAAGGAAAGGAGGCTCAGGCAGATTGACAATGTTCCCAAGGTCACGCTGCTAGAAAGCTAGCCCAGACCAGAAGAGTTCTTAAGAGTTCTAGATTTTACTCTGCTGAGACCTTCTTGAGGTCAAGGATCATGTTTTTTATTTTTCTGTGCCCAGACCAAGGTCTTAGAAGAAGCCTAATAAACATCAGTTGAATACATGAATGCGTGACCTTCCACTTTCTCCACGCGAAAGCCCGTGGTGATGTCACTGGGAAACCTCCTGTCCGGGAGGGGGCGCTGTGTCCCTCAGCGCAGCGCGGCCCGTTGCGCAGCCCTAGCTTCCTCAGGCCTTTGGCTCTGGAGCTCAGCCAATCCCTGCGCTCCGAGGGAGCCGGCGCCGGTGGGCGGGGTCCGGGGAGAGGTCTCGCGGGCCGCTGGGAGTGGCGGCTTCGGAGCTCCCCCAGCGCGGGCGGATCGCGGGCGGAGGGCTGGGGCCGGACGGCGGGGTGTGAGCTGCGGCGCGGGTGAGCACTCGTCCCGGCAGGCAGTTCCTACCCCCGAGCGGCTGCTGGGCCGCCCGTAGCTGTGGCGACGGCTGGTGGCCTTGACCTCTGAGTTAGGGGAAGGGAGATGGCGAGCGTCCGCTGCGGCCCTGGCCAGGCTAGACTGCTCCCTCTCTTCCCCGGGCTCGGCGTGGCAGTCTGAGCGCCCTGCAGACATTCTGCAGCCCGGGCTTCTCGGCCTTAGGCACGTGGGTGAGGACAGACCAGACGAGGCCGTGAGCGTGGTGGGATAGGGGCAGGGGACCGGGAACCTAGAGGAGGGAGAAGGGCAGAC